TGGAATTTTATCTTTGAAACGCCACACTTTTCTTTGAAATCGCTTTATTAGTTCTCGTGCAATAAGCGTTTTTGTGAAGCTCTAAAAATTACAACTACAACATTTGAACATAGCCCCCATACCTTAAGGTAAGACGTATTCTACGTCAAAAGTTGAGGTGCTCCTTTAAATACATTACTAGAATCGAAACGGTAATAGCTCTAAGCAGGTGCAATGAACTTTTTAGTAAAATCCTTCCTTCTCATATTACTAAAAAAAAAATCTTGTATATAGGCTCCTCTTTCCCTCATATAAGAAATAAAAACAAAGGACATTTCTAAACCTCAGCTGATTGTAATGCCAAATGTGCGCAGCCATGGTTAGATGCTAATTTTCAACCAGGTTGCGCAAATTAGACCTCTTTATCTAGTGCGGTTTAGAAATAAAAGAGAAATTTATTTATTTTTGTACGTAATACAATTGTGGAACGTTTTTTTCTGATACAGTTTAATGTGCATACATGTGTAAATATGTGTGTATGTAATTGCGGCTTAAACTATTTCTACAGCCAGTTTTAAACGACTGCATATTAGACTTCTGTTAATTTTAATAGATTAGGGTGAATTCCAAACCACTTTATGTGGCGCTATCCATAAGTATCCGGCTCGAAGTGTTGATTCAGTATACACATACATATTTACTTGGGTACATATGTACGTACCTACACATGCACATTTATGTGCATTAAGATGCCTCCCGAAACAATTCCCGCTGCTGCTTCCTCCCACATGGTTATTCGTGATTTGGACACTTTTGGAAGTACATATTCTTGATAGTTCGGGACCCAAATCACGGCATCCGTGACGGAATAAAACTCTATACGAAATTTAATTTTGTCATTACAACACTAATAAAGAGCTTGCCTTCTTACAATTTAAATTGTATTGTACAGCTGTCATTTTTGGAAATTGGAAATAAATTCTCGACTATTCATATGGTAAAAAAAAAAATTACCTATGCACATCCTATGATTTTTCAGTGACAAAATTTTTCGGAAGCCATTAGAGTCGAAATGGTCTAATAAAATTTTTAAAGAAAATAAAAAAGGGAAAATATTTTTTTATTGATACGTTGAAAATGAAAAGTTAATACAAAATGGCCCGAAATCATCTGAATTACTAAATTGTATCGAATTGTTTCAAAAATTTAATTATTTTAAAAACAATTTTTTTTAAGTCCTATAATTTATAAACTGTCAGGATTTTAAAGAATTATAAATAATGCGATTTCATAGGGTATTTTCGAGGGACGTGAACGTATAAAAAAATGTGGTCAGCGGTTCCAACCGTTTTTGCACCTTTGGATTAGTTCGTCAAAACGGTGTTTTAGGCTCGATTCAATGATTCGGAAATTAAAAAGCAAATATATACATACATACATAGTTATTTTTGTTTAGTACCAATCCAAAAAAAATATATGAGAACATACATATATGATTTATGTCATACGCTATATCTATGTATGTACGTAGTAAACATAAGTGCATACAATATATTTACCATATTTAATAAAAGAAAAAAGTGGGGACCATTTATCTTTTAAATATTGGTCGAAATGAACATTAAACCTTTCTAGAGAGTGGTTCCATTTTAGGTTCGGATCAAACATTTGCGGAACATTTCGGTGCGGTTAATGGTTCAGTTGATAAGTAGAAAAAATCGGTTAGTCTGGTTCAAAACCGGTTCACGTCCTGATATTTGCCACGTGGCTTAGCTCAAGCATAACGCTGAAATGGTGGGTGTCGTAAACTCTGCCATACTTTCTTATGCGCTTAGAAAGACCGATTTACTTTCTATGAAGCGGGAGGCAGTCTAATGATCAAAAGCATGAGAACCATCAAAATTGTATTGTTTATATTTGAATAAATCAACATTCACCGTCCATCTAGTCGGGGACCGTATGGCACACAACAAGCTGCTACATCCAACTTCACTTTAGTGATGTTTTGAAGTTTTTGAAAAAAAATAAAAATAAAAATTTAATTGAATAGAAAGCGCTCCATTGGTTGAAGGATAGATGTTAGCATTGGATTGTTTAGCTTTCGTTTGCTGTTTTCCTCCTCTTATTCAAATATTTTAATTTTCCACAAAACCAGTTGGTTGCACATTTCTTTCTGTAATGTTTATGTACTTATATATGTACATTCTACATACATTCTTATATGCTAAACATACGCCTTCACATCTTAATGTAAGTCGGCTGTATGCAGTTTTGTTGCATTTTATTTAATATTTACAAAGGTATGTATCTATGTATGTATGTGCATATGTGCTGTAGTGTGCACCCTTTGCGCCCAAGTCTTTTGTTTTTATAGGCCTGTTAATTGTGTTGTTATTGTTATGTTTAAGTGATTGTTAACGCAATCACATTCGTGTAAATAAACAAAACCATACCGCCACCCCTCGAACAGCTGTTGATTTTTCACACTTTTCGCATTTTGCGGTGATCCACATTCATAAAACAGACGAAATTAGCATACATATGTATGTATATTTTATATGATCGATGTGCATGTACATATGTATTTGGTTTGCTTGATTTATCACACATGGTTTTACAAAAGAATTTGTGCCTCCGAATACCAAAATATGGCGCCACTAAACAATGCCTACTACTTCCTTTATACAGGGCTATCCATTTATTTCATGGGAAAGTAAAATTAAAAAAAAAAAAAAAAAAAAAACACTGAAGAATTAGAATTCGGAAGAACTTTCATTTTATGTATACGTGGAAAAGAATATATTTTCAACATTTTCCAAGGAATCGTTTTCGTAACTTCACGTAGATACTCGTAGATAGATATTAAATTAGTGGTGTCTCGCTGGTCGAGTAACCGAACTGGCAGAGATCGTTTGACATAAACATTACAGAAAGAAATGTGCTTCCCTATTGGAAGATTAATTAAGCTTTAAAATCTCCTCTTGTTATACCCTCCTAGTAAACTCTGGCTGACGCATTCCTACCGAACTATGCTAGTTCATATCACTCAGTGTGTTCCTCTGCCTCCTAAACTCCTCCTTTATAGTATTGGGACCTGCGCCCAGGAAGGGCCCGGGCCAACTGGATTCACGGTTGTCGTCTCGTTACCTTCCAGTCCCATTTGTCAAGGTTGTACCCACGCCAACTGGGTGTTCTTGTGCCTGCCAAGGGAGTTTAGCTTCCTCGGGCACTCAAAGACCAATGATGATTTTATTTCATAAAGTAAGAGAAACTTGAGTGCCGCCTGTCTGTCACCATGTCTGGTTAATTTTAACTCCCAGTTAAACATCGTTATCGACGTTTTCGATACCCAGTTTATAACATATTATCGATAAAGCAGTCGATGTGAGCTCGGTATCCTATACATATTTATGATTGCCTTCGCACAAAAGTAGTAGGCGTATACTGCAACTGGAATGATACTGGTGAATTTCATCATAGGAACAGAGATCCTGGTCCTGGTCCGTAGATTCCTTCTGGGGTCTTCGAGCGGGCCTCTTGAAGGCGGAAAAGCTCTAGGTTGTTTTTCTGCATTACTGTATTTTAAAAACTATGGTTCTATCTAAGTCTATGAAGCAGAGCTAGCGGGAGCAAGGACCCTTCTGTTTTGGGAACTTTTATGCTGTTGCAACAACTACAGCAACAACCCCTCTCCTGTATAGCTATGCAGAGTTCTTTACCTGTTCTATGTTTATATGAAGAAGCTGAAGTTCGATGACTACTTCCGGCGTCGTCGTCGGACATGTGTTATGAATACATACCGGCGACCGGCATGGTCGTTGTGGTTTGGTAAGCGATTGTCTCACCTTAGCCAGAGTAGTTCTGGAAACCCAAACTACCGCACAATGGATTTTTTTTTTGTTGGAACCAGGCACAAACGCGTGCAGAGAACAACACTCTGACTACATGCCGTTCATAGTACTGCTTTCATGTCCCTTTTAATCTCTTTTAAATCTAGACGATTTATGAACAAACCTAAGCATAGTTTTTGGTGTCAAAGAGCTCAGATGTTCGTAGAATCACAAAAAATGTTCCACCCAGTTTCTGATGATGGTTATAGGGCTGGCCAATGCCTTAAGGGCAGCTTGGCTGTCACTGTAGTGACGCAAACTGCTTCCCACCTATTTTCCATCACGTAGTCCATGGCCTTGCGAATTGCAAATACCTCAGGCTGGAAGACCGAAGCATATACCCCAAGAAAAAAGCGAAGCTTATCCCCATTATCTTCGATAAAAACCCCAGATCCTGAGTCATTTTTGGAGCCATCAGTAAACATTCGACAATGTGTGAGTCCGGGCTCAGTGGTGTAATTAAAGCAGCATTCAGCCTCAGGGTGATCAACATTATAGAATATCTTCAACAAAGGTAATGGTAGCATACTATCCTGTGACATTGAAAATACACATGTGTTCAGTTCTCTGCCACCAGCACTTTCTGCCTCGCCCCACTCAGTGTTATACCAACATCGGTTTATTTTTAGTCTGGTTTCCCCACGTATGAGGACATAAAGTGATGGTAAGTGCAGCAGTGAGTCAAGAGCAGCGCCAGGTGTAGTAGAGAGCCCAATAGGTTATTATTGGCTGCACTCAACTTTCCGTCCGTATAGCCTTGGCAGCGGATATCGTTGCCCAAGAGAAGCTGAAGGAATTCGTCCACCACTAAACTCCACAGAAGAGGCGATATCGACGTATCTTCTCCTACAAAAGCTCCACAGTTGCGAGATTCTTCGCATAAACACCAACTTTCGCATAGCCCCTCAAAGCAAAAGTAGGTCGATCTTGGTATTTTAACCCTCTTGCAGCCACCGAAATGCTCTTTATTGGACGTTCTCGAAATAAGGATTCATAACGATCCTTCTGTAAAGAAAAGGATTCGTTAAAATATTCTACAATAAATATTCCCCAGAAATTTTTTCTATGTATATGGTATGTATGCTCGAACAAAGTATTTCGCTCAGACTAAAATTTAAACCCTTTTCGGAGCCAAATTTAATAAAACAAACTTTTTACCTGAGATTGCAAAACACTTTGCGGAATTGAAATTATGTCGCCACCAGAGAACGCCCCTGGTGGCATCGCTCAACGTCATTTTACACAGCTGTTTCAGTTTGGCGGGCACGCCGTCTTCAGACATAGTGGCGTATAGGTATATTTATTCAAATTATCGTCAATAAAAATGCAACCATGTGCAACAATCTAGAGCTGTCAAACTATCGATAGTCAAGTCCATCGATGTTTTACGATAGTCTTAAGGGTGACTATCGATACTATCGATAGTATCGTCGATAGTTTGACAGCTCTACAACAATCATATGCTTTTCGTGATTGCAAATTCTTTCTGACTAAAATTTTTCCGGCAATAATTTGCAATTTCTCTCCAGGAGAACAGTCACTTCGCGCTCTCTGTTTTTGAGTGATGGATAATTTTTTGGTCTGGACGAACGCGATTTGGGCAAAAATTATGATAACTGGTACGAATTCGTACAAATTTTTTGCTCGACGAACAAACCTACCATTAGCTTAAATGTTGGCAAAAATTTGGCGGGAATAATAGTACAGCCTAGGCTTCGTTCTTCTTACTTTAAAGCTTTCTAATATTCCTTTAATACCAAGAACCACAGAATATGGTAAACATTTTTCCCCCTCCATAAGTCCGATATTTTTCAGAAAATGAGATTAGTTAATCTAACGCGACCAGAAAATCCATGAACTGCATTCAGGGACCAATTGGTTTCAGGGAAATATGGATTAACAAAATGTCTCCGGTGGCATCACAAAGTGCGCAGAGTATCTTTCTGGGACGATTGCCTTACCTAATCTAATGGTGATTTCATTTCTTCCAAAAAATGGTGCCAAGATATATTTGATGTTAGACTCAGTGCATGTGCCTATTTATTCCTGTCTGGCTCAGGAATACATAAAAGTGCAGAGAATGCTCCTTTTTTGCCTTACTGGAGTGCGACATTTTATGAGACGAACACAGAATTTTCTCACCGGTTTGGAAAAGAGAAAGGGGCAGTCTAAAGATATATTTTTTTTTTTTGGTAGAAACGAAAACGCCATACGCTAAACGAGTCAAGCCGGTTAGTTCCTACTAAATATCTAAAAAATATTGAATGAATTTTTATGTACGAAACTACAAATTAATGAAAGTCCTCCGGTTTAAAAACAAATTCCTTTTTGTTCTTCATTTCCAGACATGGCCTTTTGGTTTCCATCACATGCAAACTAGCAGTAATAGTAGTAGTAGTAATCGATTGCAGAACCTTCAGTACTCCCCCACCGAATGGAATCATCATACACGCAATGCCTATTCCAAATATGGACGGATGTCTAATGGCAGCAGTAGCAATAATAATAATGGCATTTATCAGCAGGAATCGAACAATTTGCACCCACATCATTGGTATGCGAACGAAGAACCAATGGCAGAGGACATCAGCAACAATAACAACAATTGTACCTTTTTTGAATCGCAAGCGGAACATCACTTTAAACAAAATCATGAAATTTCACAAGTTCATCAGCAAATACTATATCATACAACAAGTCATACAAATACGCATAGTTCGATACGATAAAAAAGGAGGTGCATATATTTCGCTAGCTTAGAAAGAAAAGTTGCTAAGTCCCATTTTAAAAATTTTACAGGAGACGAAAAAATCTTCCTATAGCCATTTTCTTTAACTATTTCGCAAGACTTTGAATCAAACATTTTGCGCGTTTAAAGCAAAGCAAAACTCCATAAGAATCAGAAGGTTTCGATAATTATTAAAAGATGTCGTATTATTTTGGCCTTATCGGATTTGCTGTGCTTCTTTTGGACTTAGCAAATTTTCCTTTTATTGCTTATGAAGAGGAAAAAATAAAACAAGTACCTTTATAATTTTCGAAACGATCCGTATTCAATTTCTCTAGCCTCCTATATCAAAATATGAGTTTTCATAAAAAGTGGACTTAGCAACTTTTCACTCTAAGCTAGCGATTTATGTATGTACATACATATATCGCTAGCTTAGAGTGAAAAGTTGTTAAGTCCCATTTTAAAAATTTTACAGGATAGGCAAAAAACTTCTAATAGCAATTTTCTTCAAGTATTTAGCACAATTTTAAATACAATGTTTTAGCTGTTTAAACCAAAGCAAAACTCCATTTGAATCAGAGGGATTCGATCTTTATTAAAAGATTTCGTACTAAACATTTTGGCCTTATTGGTTTTTTGGGTGCTTCTTTTGGACTTAACAAATTTTCCTTCCATTGAATATAAACGAGAATAAATAAAACAAGTACCGTTATCCTTTTGAAAACATCCTTTATCCTTTATCGAAACATGAGTTTTTATAAAAAGTGGACTTAACAACTTTTCACTCTAAGCTAGCGATATATGCACTTATGTAGAATCATACTATTTAAATTAAGATGCTTCTACACCAACCAGCCAGCTCACGAATTACCCTGAATTGGTTTAAAATATTTTGGGTTTTTATTGTTATCGTGAAGCACTCCTATATGTAGCACAGCGGTAGTTTTTCGAGCCCGTCAAACAAGGCACCCGGCGGTAAAACTGATGGGTGGTCGATTACGGATGGCAACCGAACTTCAGTTGTGTAGCCAGTGTCTGAAATTGTATTGCAGATGGCAACTGGCAACTGAAAGCTACCAACTGACGGCTTATTTACACTCAAATCTTGGTTGGTGGTACCACAAAACTTCATTATTTTCAACTTTGTAACACTTAACTATAGTTGCTATTCATAATACACATTTTCATTTCAGTGGCGTTGCCCTTCGACAACTCAACTGAGGTTGCGTTGCTATTCATAATCAACCCATAGATTATAATACGCTAACTACAGTGTTGTCTACCGTTTTTTCTAAAGTTAGCTATAGTTTTTGAGATCTTTGAAATTCAAATTGAATAGGGGTTTGAGAGCCCCAAGAAGGCATTTTATACAAAAATATGCCAAAATATTACTTCTGTGTATGTAATATAAATATTATGTAAATATTTTTAAGTGAATAAGTATTAACACAATCGTGTACGTAAAGCTAACTATTTATACTTAGTACATTATAAAATATAAGTCGTAAATAAAGAAAATGGATTATATTTCTCTTGGCAAAACAATTTACACATATCTATAAATGTGTATGTATATTAGGGTGCATCACTCTTCGTACAAAAATAGGCGGTACCAGGGAAGCCAACTCGTGGGGAATTCCCCGATTTGCGGGGAATTTCAGTTTGCGTGGGGAATCGGGGAATGGACCGTTTTTTGTGGGGAATTTCAATTCTAGTATAACAAAGTTTCAAATGGCCGTTGTTTTTTTTTTAGAATTTTCTTTGCATTTGCTTTCATATAGCGAATGAACCTAATTTATTTTTATATGGAATAAAACAACGCAACAACTTAGGAAAAAATCCTAAAACGGAAATTTTTAGCCATTTGAAACTTGCACTTTATTATTCTAGAATTGAGTGGGCTACAAAACTGCATACTCAAATTATTTATAGAAACTCCGATTAAAAAGCTCGAAGGTTTGTTGAATATTTTTCAAATATTGCACAAAGTCTGAAACTAGGATTTATACAGTTTTTGTTAAAGAATAAACTATATTTTTATTAAAAAAATAACTCAAATTAAGTAACAAAAAAATAATAATAATTGGTGCGAGTAAATTTTTTCGACCACTGTATGTATGTAAATATTATCTACATAAATATTTTTTTGTTCTTTATTTTTTTAACTACCTTTATAAAAGTTTGGTTTGGTTTATCAATACATAGATTAATTACGTTCAAAAATAGAAAACAAAGAAAGACCAGTCATATATCAAAATACATAATTTTTGTTTTTGTTTTTTGTAAGTATAGGATATCTAGGGGTGGGGAATTTTACGAAATTTCGGGCAAAATCGGGGAATTTCATTGTCGAACTTGGGGAATTCTCGAAAATGAGTTGGCTAGCCTGGTCGGTACTACTGTTTTTCCATCCGAAAAATATTAAGATTTACGTGAGCTGAACCAATTTGAAAGTATCTCAAAAAATCGAGTTGTTTATAAATTAAATTAATTTTTTTTTTAATATTTTTTCCAAAAAATTACATCAGGTGATAGAAGTTATTAAGTTTAAAATGGGATTTTTGAAAGTATATTCAAATCGGTCCAGCTTACGTAAGTTTTTTTTCGAAATATTTTTGCGAAGTTTTATAATATAATAAACTTTATAATTCAGGTGGAAAACTGTCACTTTTTCGCTGAAGGTATACATAAATACTTACATACAATGTATGTGGTTTTTTAACACTTGGCTTCATGAGTTTAATTATTTAAATATTAGATAAGAGAATCCAACACCAAAAAAAGTAACAGCAGGTTCTTATATTTATATATTTCGATTAGTAGAAAAATCGACTGTTATTCGATTATCGCTTTTCCATGGTATTGTGAATGTCGATTTTTCGTTCAATAAGCGACTGTGAATAGTTTTTAGTCACTCATCCTTCTTCAACTGTTTGTTTGTAGAAGGATGATCGCTTAAAATTTATTCACACTAACTTGTTGAACGAGACAACGACGTTCACAATACCATGGAAAAGCGATAATCGAATAATAGTTGTTTATCTACTACCAGTCGGCACTCGAAATAGGGGTGTTTGAGGTTGCTGATTACGAACCTATGTAGAGTATGATTTTGAAAATTCATAATGGCGAATCCAATATGGCGGCCAAAAAATTAACATCGGTTCGGTCCGCTTGAAAGGTTTTTCTCTGGGATTCTTGGGGCCGCTTTTTACGAATCAGAGATCAGTCTGGGAAAATCAAAAATGGCCGGCTCAATATGACAGCAAGAAAAAATTAAAGTCGATCCGATTCACTTTATACGTTTTCAGGGTTGGTGATGGCATATAAAATTCTCTACAACTTTACGAATTTGAACATGGTACGTATTTTCAAAAGAAATTGTTGAAAAATGACGAAACCGAGAGGTAAAAAGGTTTAGCAGTTTTTGCTAATTATTTAAAATAAAAAAAGAAAAAACATTTTAAAACTTCATATAAAAAATGTGGAAAATTAAGTTCTCTATAAATTTTTATCCGGCCGCTGTGGTGTAGTGGTAAGCAGTGCGCGCTTTCACTCACCAGCACCTGGGTTTAAGCCCTGGTCAAAGCAACATCGCAAAAAATTTAGAAAAAGGTTTTTCTTAACAGCGGCCGTCAGTCGGCAGGCAATGGCAAACCTCCGAGTGTATTTCATAAAAATACAATCGCCGTTCGGAGTCGGCGTAAAACTGTAGGTCCCTCCGATTTGTGTGACAATATCAAGGCGCACGCCACAAGTTGGAGGAGAAGTTCGGCCAAACACTAACATATGTGTAAGCGCCAATCTAGTATTATATTATAAATTTGTATTTAACCAATTTTACGAAAAATGCAAAAAAAAACAAAAAACCTAAAATCCAAGGTGGCGGAATGTTGCCATATGATTTTGTGGGGCAAGACTGTGGATCCATCATCTACGTATCAAATAAAGTAAACTGCATACAAAAACTGATACTACATTTTTTTTTAATTTTACTGGGCCACAAGTGAGTAAAAGAGATATTCCGGCGAAATGATAACCTTCTCCTTTTTTTGAAGGCGGTTAACAAAATATCAGACTTTTCGCTTAGTTTTATAAAAAGCGGCATGAAACCCAAAATAACCAAAGTGTTTTATTCTTTTTCACCACTTTTCTTCAAAATCGATCATTCTCCGACTTGGGTCTATAATGTATGTATGTATGTGCATACAGTATTGGAAAAAAAATAATAAAAACGTACAGCTTTCATATATTTTTTATTGTTTGAAGAACTCTTTCATGCACATTGCGATTTCGTACATTTTGTTTACGTTAATTAAAATCGAGACTTCTTTTGCAAGTGCAAATAATTGCCATAAATAAATTGTGGCCCATTTTTTTAAATTTTGGCCTGGAAGAAATAATAGAAACAAAGTACTATTTCTAAATAAATTAAACTTTGAGCCAAAAATTCTTACAAAAAATATTATTGTTTCAATAGCTTATTGAACCGCCGCCTTGCCTGATTAACGCTCTGCATATTCGGTGCATCGAATTAACCAAGTTTGCACAAACACTTTTCGGAATGGAATAACACGATTTTAGAATGTGGCGCAACAATTCGCCTTTATTGCTGGCTTTAAAAGTCCCCATTCTCTTCTTTAAGTTGAGTTGGGGTTGAGGTTTGGCGATTGAGACGGCCACTCCATAACTTTCACTTTTTCCTTCTTAAACCACTATTTTACGAGTTTCGATGCATGTTTAGGATCATTATCCTGCAGTAACTCCCACCGCAATGGCATTTCCTCTTTAGAATAGGGAAGCCTTATCGTCTGTAATATGTTTACATAGTCAACCGCGCACATTTCGTTCTTTATCCAAAATATTGGACCAACGCCTTTCTCAGGTAAGCAGCCGCATACCATAATGGAACCAACGCTGTATGTAGATCAAAGGCTGTGTTCGTAGGACATTTTACGTACTGTTTTCCATCTGATCCAAAAGATGTTTTCTGGCAAAAGTCAGTTGTTTT